CCGCAGACGAGCTTACAGCGAAACCCGGCGTCTTCGCCCTAGGATTGGAGCGTAATGGAATCCATGACGCCCTCGAGAAAGTTCTACAGACACTATAGCCTTTAAACAGTAACGTTTAATCGTATTTTTTGCCGCAAAAGTTGACTCGCAATTTTCGAAAAACTTGTGACGCCATTTTTTTCACTCGGCGCTTGGTTCCCGAATTTTCGATTCGTCTTAGTCGTAGCACGCTATTAACGCTTTTACATTTTGTAGTACAAATGACGCTTAACATTTGATTGTATTTCTACCTAGATTTCTACCTCGAAATTAAGCAGATTTATGCCGCATTTCTCATAGTTTGTAACTCGTTTCTGAAGTTGGCCGCCGGGCCGCCATTTTGTTTGTTGTTGTCTGCACGCTTGGGCGACGCTGAATTTTGTAACTCGTCTCATTTTTTTTCGATATTGTCCCGTACTAGCACAAAATGAACGGCTATCGTTTCTGTAAATTTATGAAGAAACTTCTAAATCGAAGTATACGCTAAATATTTATAAATACCCAAGTGTAGATAAGCTGGGAAATTTCAAAGCGTCACTGCGTCACATGTGTTTGTGCATGTTCACAAGATTTTTTTTACCGTGGTTTGCTTAGCACTGCATACTTGTTAAAAACATGAACTACTTTATGTTTAATAAATATTTTATTTCTGGAAGCACATCAGTGTTTTGCTTGTTCCTATGTGAAGCACTAGTACTGTGCCTTGTGTGCATGTTGTAGTCAAGAAATGAAGCGTGATTGCGATCGTACCGTAACGAGCTTGGGGCAAGAGGGAGGGGGGCTGAAGTGGTAAAAAAAGTTGCGATCATGAAAATTTAGCGGTGGAATAGTGACCGCTAAAACCGCTATAATTAAGTGACCGTTATCAAATCAAGAATTACAGTATCTGACTTGTCTTTAGGCTGTTAATAACTTTTGTTTGTTGTGATTAGAAAACCATTGGAGGAGAAGGGTCATCAGCAGGGGCTGATGCAGGAGGAGATGAGGTAGATGCACCAGGAGTCCAGGTGTTCAGTGTGGAGTATGCCAAGTCTAACAGAAGTGCCTGCAGGGGGTGCTCTGAAAAGATAGACAAGGTAAGGGGCTTCATAGAAGTAGAGGAAATCCAGTCTCTGATGGAGGGTAGAGCAAAGTGAAGGATGCTTTCAAATTTAGTTTTAGTATTGTATCCAAAGTAAAGTAAATAAGTACATGTAGTATTGAAGGACTAATTCCATATTTCACCTCAAAGTTGCTGATACATGTTGTATATGTATCTACCTAACTGTGCTTTCTCAGGGCCTGGTCAGGATCTCCAAGAAGGTTGATGAGGGAGACCAGTGGGGGCCCAAGGACCTGTGGCACCATGTGGACTGTTTTGTGGAAAAAAGGGAGGAGTTGGGCTTTACCACAGACATGGCTCCCTCTGTCATCCAGGGCTACAAGAAACTCAGCAAGGATGACCAAGACATACTGGTCAAGAAACTGGGATCAGGAACTACAGGGTAAGAAAAAAAACGGACAGTGTGGCAAAGAAATAGAATTTGCCATGCCTTAAGTTGTGGTAAAGGTAGTGTTGACCATTTGTCAGGTGTGAAATAGAGTAAAGACTATGTCCATGACATCATATGATGGCAAATGACCTCAAGGTACAACTTCATGCTTAAATACTTTCACCTGTTACTGTTGATGTAATGTACATGTATGTACTAATGACTAATTTTGTGCTATTGTTATTAGTAAGCGGAAGGCTAAAGGTAGTAATGGAGCAGCTGCCAAAAAAGTCAAAGCAGAGGAAACAGAGGAAGAAAAGAAACTGAAGGTAGTCTCAGATGTTGTTTTTGCTACAGCTCTTTGACGGTCGATGTATTTGTGTATATATGACAATATGCAATGCTTATTCAAAGTGATACTGTTTACCTTACACTGTATTGCCTTAGTATGCCTGTAGGTTGAAATTATTGACTGTACTTTGCACTGGTACTGTGTTATTTAGGAGCAGAGTAAGCTGGTGTGGAAGATCCGTGATGAGCTGTCCAAGTCTATGGAAAACAGCGACCTGAAAGAGCTGCTGTTAGCTAACGATCAAGACATTCCTAGTGGGGAGAGTGCTGTGAGTTAAACATGGTCTTTTTCTGTAGAATTTGTTGTAACACGGCATGTTTTCTCAAGTAGGAGTTTGTTTTTCAAATGTGGTATGGAGCTAGTAGTGAAAAGCACTTGCTATTCAAAGATATATTTGAAACTTTATTGCATGTTCATTCCCCTGGGGGATAAATGCATGGATGTACAAAGAACAATGTACTAGAGCGTACTACAACAGTAGTAATAGAGAAAGGCTAACATTAGGTCTAAGGTATACAATGCTAAAAATAAAAAAAAAAGAAATATATATATAAGTGGTATATTATGCAACTTGATTCCTCTTGAATGTTTTCATTTTGAATACTGGTTAAAATGTATGAATGTATCAAACTTGTAAATACCATGTTAGAAGCAAAACCAAGTTTTGTTGTGTAGCTAAGGTGTTTTCCTTTGTGCCTGCTAGCTACTGGACAGGCTGAGTGATGGCATGGCATTTGGAGCCCTGCAGCGCTGTCCCGAGTGCAAACATGGGCAGCTGTTCTACAGAAGTGACGGGTACCACTGTTCAGGCAACCTTACTGAGTGGACCAAGTGTATCTACACTACACGGGAACCCAAGAGGAAGAAATGGATTATCCCTGATGATCTCAAGGAGGAGGTTCCCTTTCTGTATGTAGAATCTCCTGTTTTGTGTTGTCCATGATCTTGGCATTTGTGAAGTTTCATCAGAAATCAATCTGTTCTTTTTAGACCTGACCTGACTTTTTTCTGAAGTTAGCTGGTCAGAAAGTAAGCTACATCTCCCGAACAAGGCTATCATTATCAATAGCATTTCCCAATTTTAACATTGTAAGTATATTTTCATACCTATGAGATGCCAAGATAACTGAATTTTCTCTACGAAAACACCCTTTTCAGGAAGAAGTTCAAGTCCAAGGTTGCTGCTCGTGTGTTCTCAGCTGCTCACGTTGCTGCTGCATCTGAATCCACAGATAGCTTCAGTTCTTCCTCCAGGTATTTAAACACTGCTACTGGTATGTGGACAGCTACATGTTTGTAGGATTTGTATTCAAAAGACCTGTAACATGTACAGACAATTCTACTGTCTCAAGTCATATGTTGGTTGGTTATGGTTGCTTTAATCAAGACCATGAACTTATATGATTCTAGTTTAACTAGAAAACATTAATTTTTCCAATTTCCAGAGCTGATGAAAAGAAGCCTTTGCACCATGTCAAGGTTGTTTTGGGTAAAACAACAAAGTCCAAGGCAGAGATGACCAAGGCGATAGAGAAACTAGGAGGGACTGTAGCGAGCAAGGTGGACAGTACTGTAGCCTGTGTCATCAGCTCCAAAGGTAAGAAGATTGGTAAAGAATGTTATCTTATTGCCAGAGTTAGGTTTAAAAAACTCGCAGCCATCTTGTTTTTAAAAATTGCATACAATTTATGTTGCCAATCTATTGAAAGTTGGATTGAAAAATGAATTTTATAGATCCAGTTTGGCATAGACTTGGGCATAAATTGTCGTATTTCCTGCACACACACATTAACAATGGTAGAAACATTAGTCTATTTGTAATAATTCCTGCATAAGTAATGATGTCAGGTAAGAGTAGCCATGAAAACAACCCATTTGTTTGTTTTGCCTGTTTTGCAGAGGATGTGCAAAAGATGAGTAAGAAGATTAAGGATGCCAAAGCTGCTGATGTCCATGTTGTCTCTGAGGACTTTGTAACAGATGTGGAGAAGGGAGGGGCTGCCTTACTCATCATGCAGAAGAGTATTGCATCCTGGGGGTCTGATGTTAGTAACTTCCTCTCTACAGTGTTTGCACAATGTGCTTTATGAAGATAAATGGACATGTATGAAGTGTTGTCATAAATTCAGAATTTCCTAACATATTTGTTTAATGCATATTTTTCAGACATACTCTTTGACTATTGCCTTTTTTGTTTACCTTTTTACTCTCCAATCAACAAACTGAGAGTGATAGTTACCATAGATGTTTTACTCTTAGCCCCACTCCAGAATTGCCACAGTCGAAGAGAAACCATCAAAGAGTAAGAGCAAGAGTAAATATGAGGAAATGGGTGAGAGTTGTACATTTTCACATGTTAAGTAGACTATTTGTCTAATATTTATCTCTATTTGTCTATTGATATAAAAACAAAATGTTCAAAATTGCCAATTAAAACGTTTTGTGGAAGTGTTGTAGAATGATAGATAAGAGGACTGTTAGGGGTATGGGTGAAGTAGAAATTGTTGTAGCAATTAGGAGAAAACTGTAGTAGAACAGAAAAAACAAATTTGCAAACACTGTAACTTATAGTACATTTTACACAAACCATCTATTTTATTCCACATAAGACCATCCTTCTACAACAACACATATAGTAACAGTAACTTAGTAGGTAGCTGTTTGATTTGGTACAATGTTGTTCATGTAGAGTCTGGCACCAAGAAACTGAAGATGATGGTGAAGGGTGGGGCAGCTGTAGACCCTGACTCAGGTACGTGGGATTCTATTCTGGCCAGTTTTCATCTTACAAACAGAAAATTGTTGTTAGATTGTTATTGCAATGTTTTTCCTGTATATGTACATGTATGTGTAAATTAATTTATATGTTAATGCAATTATTTATGTCATACCAGCCTCTGACCCTCCTATTTGTCCTCTAGTTTTTCATTATAACTTAATTTGTAGAATACATGTAGTTTCTGGTGCAATGTTATTGTAAATAGTTCTTGTCATGTTTCAGGAATTGAACATTCTGCTCATGTTCTTGAGGACAAGGGAAAGGTATACAATGCTGTTCTTGGTCTAGTAGACTTGGTAAGAGGTACAAACTCTTACTACAAGCTACAAGTCTTGGAGGCTGACAAAGGCAATAGGTATGTGTCATATTAACAACAGATACTGTGTTAATGATACCCTTGATGTTGCTAAACCATATTTATGAAATACAATGCATGTATTTTCCCATGTAATTTTAACAGATGTTTGCATAGGTCTGAGAACTCAAACTGTCTGTTTCATGCCTTGTAAGAGATTACAAGTGTGAAATTAGGCATAATATATAGCCTATGGATACAGAAGTTACTATCACTCCTAGTACATTTGTACTAAAGGATTTGTCTATGTGTTACTGCAGGTGGTACGTGTTCCGGGCATGGGGACGGGTAGGCACCACTGTGGGTGGGAACAAGCTGGAGACCTTCCACTCCAGACAGGGGGCCCTGGAGCAGTTCCTCAACCTCTATGAGGAGAAAACAGGTCAATCTCTTTTGTTCTTATTCACAACTTACTCAATCTGCAGTCACTAATGTTTGTCGTTAAAACACTACAAAGAAACAAGTACACTGCAACTGTACCCAGTGCAAGTCAGAACAAACTTACTACTTCTTCAGGTTCTTTTGATTGATGCCTTTTTCCAATTAAACAGTATGCTAATGGTTAAGTCATACTGCTTGAAACATTAAAAAATGGCCTTTCCTCTCAGTAATACCATATACATGATATCAGAGAAAAGAGAACTATTGGTTATTATCATGTACTGACAAGTTTAATGTTCTACCAACAGGAAACGAATTTGGGACCAAGAACTTTGTGAAGTACCCAAAACGATTTTACCCATTAGACATTGACTATGGACAGGTATGTGTTTTTTTGGTTCCCAAATTTTGCAGCAATTTTTTAAACATCAAATAATCAGGGTGTTTATTTCCTACCAAGCTATTAAGATATTGCATTATAAATGTTTTATGCTTTCTAGTACCAGTCAATTGATGCCTCATACATCATTCACAATCCAAGTCCATCTTGTACCTGTAGGAGGAAGAGGATCTGCAGAAGCTGAAGATCAAACCAGGCTCCAAGTCTACTCTGGCTCGTGAGGTTCAGGAAATCATACAGATGATCTTTGACATTGAGAGCATGAAGAAGGCCATGGTGGAGTTTGAGGTGCTCTGATTTTTGTTAGCAACAACCATTTAAAAATGTTTGGCTAGAATAACTACATGGTATAGGTAAACAGAAATTCATGTCATATCTAGCTTTATGGAATTCCAAAATCAATCTTCTATTAGTATCTAAGATCAGTACATTGTCTACAGTGTTTGGACAAGATCTAAGGATGCCAATGTTGGATGTAATGAAATTATGCTCACATGTTAATGCCTCTGTTTTAGATCGACCTGAAGAAGATGCCATTAGGCAAGCTGTCACGGAAACAGATTGAGAGTGCCTATAGCGTGCTGACAGAACTGAATGGGGTAGGTGGGCACCTTTTCCTGTGTCAGAATGGCTATGTACAGCACTAGTCATCTCCACCTGATGTCAGTGTGTTGTCAATCCAAATTACAGCAAGGAACAACTTTTTCTAATATTAAACCTGGTAGCAATGAAATTCCTTTCTCTTTTAATCTCAATTTAAGATTATGTTTTAACATACTCTATGTTCTGTTTGTAGATAGGTCTGCACATATTAGTAGATTTATAATATATTCAGGACTCGATGCATTATATAATGCTTAGTCAATATGTTTGATCTGTCACTGTATGATTTCTTTTCATAAGTGAATGAATGAGTTTATCTGTCTATCTTGTAGATCCTGACCGGTGAGAGGAGTGCCACGAGAATCCTTGATGCCTCCAACCGATTCTACACTCTCATTCCACATGACTTTGGCATGAAGAAACCCCCCATGTTGGATAATGAGGAAGTCATCAAGGTGTGTATGTCCAGAAAAATGCCAAACATACAGTTTCTCCATTGCTAGATATCTGTTCCGTTCGTACTCATCAAAACTAGAAACCATTGTTTGTGCATATTTCATATGTCAGCATACATTGGTTGATATTGAAAGCCCCAAGCTGACCAGGACTTCTTGTTCAGGCCAAAACTACCATGCTGGACAACCTGCTGGAGATAGAAGTGGCCTACAACCTACTGAAGAGTGGAGACGATGGGGAGGGCAAGGACCCCATCGATGCTCACTATGAGAAACTCAAGTGCAAGATGGAGGTGTGATTCTCAAGCCTTTATACTGAATGATGTATTTTGTGTATCAAATACTACAATAGTTGGAGATGTATGAACTAAAATCATCTTGTAAGATAATTTTATGTGCCTTGCTTGTGTGTTTCAGGTTGTAGAGAAGGCCTCAGATGAGTTTGCCATGGTACAGGAGTACGTGAAGAACACTCATGCCAAAACGCACAGCCATTACACCCTGGAAGTAGAAGAGGCAAGAAATCTATTTTGTGCAATTATACTAAATCGTATGAACTTATGTACTGAGAAAGCAAATTCCACTTTAGTAAAGGTACTATTTGAGTGTGAGCTCAATTTTCAGTTGTCAATGAACTTCAGATAGTCACCACATGTATTGTTTCTTATTGCTCTATAGTTGTTCAAGATTGCCAGGGAGGGAGAGGCATCCCGATACAGGCCCTTCCAGCAGCTCCACAACAGACAGCTCCTCTGGCACGGGTCACGAGTCACCAACTATGCTGGCATCCTTTCTCAGGGGCTCAGGATTGCACCCCCAGAGGCCCCCGTGGTATGTAGTCACTTGTGTTCAGTTATTTCCTTCCTATAATCAACAGTGTTGGATTTCTCACTAATTATGCAGCATTTATTAACCTTGTAGAAGTGATTAGTTTTCTTGTCAGACAAGTTCTTTTGTTGTGGTGGGTTTGAAAGTACAGAAGTATGAATACTGTTGTACCTAGTATTGTTAGATAATAGTAGATAGTAACAGTAGAAAGTGTGCAGTTTGTGGGATTCTATATGACATCATTGACTCTTCAGATATACTTAGAATTTCATTGCAAGGTGTTCAAACAAGAGTGTGCAATCTTGAATTATGCAACCACTGCAAACTTAATTGAGAGTTGTTTTACCAGAATGTACAAAAAATTGTTCTTTCATTTGGTTAACTAGTTACACTGGAAGTGCTAACCACCATTTCTTTACCACCCGACAGACTGGCTACATGTTTGGGAAGGGCCTGTACTTTGCCGACATGGTGTCCAAGAGTGCTAACTACTGTGCTACGTCCACGGCAAGTCCCACAGGACTGCTGCTGCTCTGTGAGGTGGCGCTGGGAAACATGTAAGGACACTCAGTTACAACCAGCAGTATGTCTTCTGCAGTTTTGTGTTGCTGCTGTCACATGTAGGTCTGGTTACAGTTCCATGGGAAGGTAGAATATCTCACTGAGAGGAAGGTGCCCATTCACTGTGCACACCACACAGACACACACACATACTTACCCAAAAATATGTGATCTCACCAGACAATTTTGCCTTGACTTTGCAACAACATATTGTAAACTACTGCTGCATTATTTCCCCCATACAGGTATGAGAGAAAACATGCAGAGTATGTCTCCAAACTTCCCAAAGGCATGCACAGCACCAAAGGTTGGTCACTTACACTTCATTGGAACAAGTTTAGTGGAGCCACTGGTTAGGCAAGAGAGCAAGATAGTAGACCTATGTGGTGTTTTCAATATAAACAAAGCTACAGTATGATACTGTTAGGTTCCATGATGAGAAATACAAACTGCCCATCCTCTCTCACTCTCTCTCCCATAGTAGTCATAGGTTTATCTTCTTCCAGGATGGAAATACTTGTGTAGAGGTGTCACTAATACGGAACCCCTTGAATCAGTGCTTGTCATTACTGAAATATGCTCACAATCACACTCTTGCTTCTCATTTTCAGCTAGTGAAGTGTGTAAGATTAAGGATTGGCATGGTCTCTTACTGAACAGTGTACCTGTCCACAAACCATTAGTCATGACTGTTTGACATGATCAGTTTTGTGAATCTTGTTTGTTTTACTTGTAGGACTGGGAGCTACTGGCCCAGACCCTGGGGCTACAAAGACACTGCCCAATGGTACTCAGGTTCCCATTGGTCATGGTGTTCCCAGTGGTGTATCTGGATCCAGTCTGCTGTACAATGAGTATCCTTTTCATCATGGTCTTAATTTATGTTGGAGCTCATGTCAAAGGTTGTCCAGAAAACAGTTTAAGCAGCCTTCTGGTGGCTGAAAAGTTGAATTTCTTGGGACTTGTGTATTGATATGCAAAAGTCATCCAAAAGCCCTATTAAGGATAATTGCTCTTTGTTGGATTTCACTGTATTGAGCACCCACACTAATATTCAAATTTTATATAGTATTCTGCAAATTTAGATTTACTTTGATTTTTTTCTGTGAAAATTAGAACACCACCATACTGATATTAGGTGGGAAAATTCTAACCTACTTTGCACTGGACATATCTGTTATGATAACCCGGGCCCCAGACATGATTTGATTTTTCAGCATCATGCCTTGCACTAACTCTGTTAGGTTGATATCATTGTCTCCATTGCAGCTGTGCTGAAGTCAGGTAAAAGCCTTAACAGTATGTCAGGTATATTGTGTACGACGTGGCCCAGGTGGAAATGAAGTACCTGATCAGGATGAAGTTCAACTATAAGAGTCTCTGGTGAAGAGTGTGTTTTCTCTGAGAACAGGAGGAATATTGTACCACCATGGCTTGGTTTAGTCACAAAGGGGTTTGAAATCATTGTGGAAGCCATTGTTAAGCTAATGCTGACGTTTACTAAAACTATCTCATTGCTACTTATCATAACAGTTAGCAACTAATGATCATGTACAAGCCGGATGCTTGTAATTTGACTGACCATACTATTGTCAACTTTAAGGCTGAGAATCATGCTTATGGAAGTGTTACCGCTGCTATGTAAACTCTAAGGAGCAAGTTTTCATCAACCTTTAATTCACTAAATAAAAAAGATCCTGTTTTGGAAGGCAACTGTTCAAACTATACCAGTAGCTTAGTCATGACTCATGACTTAAAGAGGATAGATGGTAAGACAAAGTGAAGTATTTTTTTCTTGCCTTTTATTATTTTCAAAACATTGAAGGCACTCTTGGGACAAGCCTTGAAGGAAGGAGATGTCAGCATGGATCTTAGAAGGCTCTGGTTCAGTTCCTTGACACCAATACGACTTGGCTTGAAAGTGGAAATGCTCTGAGTATGTTTCAAAACTTAAGTTCCCCGTAGTTGTAGTAGAACATTTCTGTTGTTGTCAGTACTTGTGTTTACTAGTATTTTGTTTATTAGCTTTATCCTAACATTTTTATATTTCCTGAGATGAAGATGAGATAATCTATATCACAGACTGAAAAGCAGATGAGCAGTAAGTACCAAAGTTGTATTTACTTACAAACTGTACCATTAGAGATGTACGGTAGTAAGATTTACTAAATTGCAGAGCAGCAATATGATGTGTAGTTCATCTTAAGTGAAAAGATGGTTGACCTTTACTGGCATAAAGCACACCTTAACCTCTCAGAAAGGACGGTAGTCAATAAAAATGTCTACCCCCAAACTCTTCAATTGTCTGTCTTTATTATGGCATACGTGGACAATTTAATATCATAGGTATGTAATGTCTACTTATAAAAGGATACAATATACATGTAGTTAGTAGCAGAAAGCAGTTTCCCTATGGGGTCTTGAAACATTACAATACTGTCTGGTATACTTGTATTAATAAGTGCTGCTAGTGATAAGAAAAAAGTCTCTTATCCATTTACAACAGTTTTGTCCCCAAGACTAGGGGCTAATGTATGTAGACCAGTGAAAGGAGATAGTGGCAGGTAATGGAATGCCATCACATTCAGGGTTGCAAGTTAACACTTCATGCCCAAGTAATGTACAAGTGCCACAGATACCTTAACAATAGTCCATTTATTGACACCAGTCACACCCTGATCATAATTTCCCACTAATTCTATCTTAATCCTCAACTAATTCGGCAGGGGTTAGCATAATCATGAATAATCAACTCTACATTTACTTAGAAAAGGATACAATATACATTTAGCCTTGATATCAATACATTTGGCCTTATTAATGCCTCAAAGGCATAACACACAGCTGGTGTGTTACGCCGAAAGGCGGTTATACCGGCTATACAGATACAGATACAGAAAGGCACATTTTAGTCATTATCAATTATATTCATCTCAAGTCATATTCTCAAACATTAAGATGATTTTAATTCAGCTTAATTTACTAAAATCTTTCCAACTGAGAACGCAAATGTCTTACGATGATTGACATTTATGAATATTGCAAAATGATATTACATTCAGCAACTGTTGCACAAAGGGCTTATTTTGTTGCAAAACATAGTAAAGTAGTAGATTCTGCTGCTGCAATCATTTGTAGAGCAAAATAAATGGTTCTCATAGTTTTTATATTCATCATCTACATGAAACCACATTTACATTTGCATGAAAGTTCATCTGAGTTGGTAAATTACATTATGAAAAACTTAAACTGTTCTCCAACTCAAAATTTGACTCACCAGAAATTTTCGACTGAATCACTCAGTCTTCCTCAGCTATCTGACCCAAATGCTGTGGACACGTGATTTTTCCCGCATGTGACGTCAGCAAAGGGTCAAAGGTTGTCTGAAGTCGATATCGCCCCCCGTCCCGGTTGAGCGATGGTGTGCTGACGTCACACGTGTCCACAGCATTTGGGTCAGATAGCTGAGGAAGACAGTGATTCAGTCGAAAATTTCTGGTGAGTCTAATTTGGAGTTGGAGAACAGTTTAAGTTTTTAATAATCACATTTACATTTCCTGAGTCCAGTATAAAAGTTAACACATCATGAGGTAGAAGGTTGATAAAGAATTCACCTTTATCATCAACTGTGTCATTTAGAATTGCTACAATGTAAAAAGCTGTAAACCAGTCATTTCAAGACGTAATGCAAGTGGTAAACATGCATTACTTTCTATCCTAGTAAAAATTAATCAGCATCTTTTCAGTAAAATTAGTTGGTGCTTAAATAGCAAATCTGTACTTCAAATATGAAATCTGTACAGTTACTACCCATAGTGCCACACAGCATCCTTGTGTCCTAGTATTACTGCATGTGACAGCTTGTGCCCTGTAGAGAGTGGAATAACATTGATAGTTGTAATGTTAGATTTGTCATCAACATTTAGTATCAATGTCCTGCCTTATGTCTTTCGACAACTTACTGCCCATCAATCCATATGTTAGAAAACATCAAGGCAACGTGGGTTGGGAATGGACCTGAGACCATGTAGTATTTCTTGACACTGACTACTCTTGGAAGAAAACACATCCCATCAAAATACATGTAGATGGTTCCCGGATGAGGTTGTGATTATCAACAATATAGCCTAGGAGACCCCCCAATTATGTTAGAATGTCAGAGCATCATACCTCCTCGGTGAATTGTGTGTTCACTTGAATGACAAGGTGGCCGTCTGGATCTTTCCATTCTTGCTTGACTTAACTGTAGCAGCTCTGTCTTGCTTCATGTGTGGAATAGATGATCATAATGGTTAAAAACTGCTCGGTCTTAAATTTGCTAAAACTAGCTATCTCTGATTTATAGAAAATTGTATATTCTTCATCTATATACATCATGGATAAATGAGGAACAGTGGAGAAGTGTAACACTTCCGATTCTTGACTACTCAGCAATCATAATGAACTTTGGTGCTTTATGGTACCTAAAATGCTTTACACTGACTAAATGGGCATTGAACAAATATACTTCAGAATTTAATTATCACCAACCAAGACAAAGGACAGAGACACGCAGTTTGGCCGACAAAGAGAAGCGGAACCAGAGACCGGGCTGGGCGAATGTGAGCGGGGAGCCGGCTAGCCCGGGTCCACGTGGAGTTGGTGAGTTCGCCTGGTAGTGCTAATTAACAAAAATGACTGCCAGACATTTTTCCACAATGAGCAAGTAGACAAAGCAACACTGTCACAAAGGACAACTTCAGTTTTTGTAGTGTAGGCAGAGATGTATGGATTTTATATTTTTTGAAAGATTGACATGTTTGTGTAAAGAATGAAGCAAGCCTGCAAATAACACATACATGTAACAGAACTTTCTTATCTCGACACCACCAATTGAAAGGGAGATGAAGACTTACCCTGATAAAGGGGCTGTATGCAGAGTATGAAGCAGGCTGGGCAAAGAAGTCCCTGGCACTCTTCATGGTCTCAGGAGGTAGGGCATAGGTTGGGCTGCAATACAGGGTGTAGTGTCGTGATCGCATGAGTAGGAGAGAAAAAGAGCAACATTGACAACACTGATGAAGGAAAGATTCTGAATTGAAGTACTCTGTAGTGCTGGAGAAGTTGGGTTTTTAGTTAGTCTTGTTTACTGTGACATTTGCATTTTTGTTCTCTTACAGGTTGCTCAGCCTCACATTTTCTTCTAATAGCATGACAGTACGGTCTTAACATGTTCTTTACTTACTTGACTGCATCATCAAACGAGTATCCCTGGTCAGGTGGTACCTCGTAAATAGCAGCAGGCTTGTCATGGATGCCTAAGCCAAATCCACCATCGTACGTGGGTACATCTCCCTTGTACCTGGGTCCTGTGAGGGTGTACCTCGGTAGGGTGACGGGTTGGCGTGCCATGGCAGATTCCCCCAGCTCAAATGCCTTGTTGGTGTACTCAAAATTCTCATCATAAATAGGGTTGAACCTTGGCACACCTTCGTGCATTAGGGTTTTCTTGGCTGGCACCTTTGTTGGTTGCACCCATAACTCCTGTGAAAGAAAGTTTTTAAAATGTTAACAGTTGCCTCATATGGAAAAACTCTGAAATAAGAAATGTGTATGTAGTTTTCCATGTTTGGTTACATATTTAACTCCAAAGATTAAATTTGAACGGAACATCACAAAAACTTAAGGAATCAACCAATGAAGCTGTATCTAATTGACTAACTCCTGTATGGTGACTTACTTCAGACTTCTTCTTCTTGTTTGACTGATAGGCAGAGCACATGCATGCCAGTAGCACCACTGAAGCGAGCACTCCAACCAAGATTCCCAGACCCAGGGTCAGATTGTATCGTGAACCTGGAAACAGGGAAGACTTGATGAGCAGGTGAACCTTTTAATCAATATCTACAGTCAAGGTAAAACTTATACACCCTTGGTAGGATTTTTCCTAATATTGTCCACCTTTTCTGTTCAGATACATCCCATTGATAGAGAGGAGTTTCTTACATGATGTTTCACTGTAAAGCTGTAAACATCTACTGTGTAGTGTCGTCACAGCCAAGCCAAGTTAGAACATAAATCTGACGTGTCTCTTACCATCATCCTCACAACGTGCTCCACTGTAACCACTCGGACATCTGCAAAACAATTGGCAAATATTCTCAGTCTATTTCAATAAACCGAAAAAATCTTCAGCAGTTTTTAAGAAAGAAAAAGTCTCTACAACAAAATGGCCTCCAGAATCCTAGATGGATACTTACGTGCATGCCAGTCCTCCTGCCACAGGTTTGCACGTTCCTCTGTTTTTACAGTAGTCTGCTGGACACTCAGCTGTATGGATAATGAAAACCAATTAAAAAATCATTCCATAAAATCTTGAATTCAAGCTCTAGATGCAACATGCTTTATCATGCTTTATAGCTTTATATTTAAAGCCAAAGTATCTTTGAAGAACAGCCATTTTGATCACATTCACTTTGCGTTAACTGTCATCATGGAAGATGAAAATTGAATTACATGTATTTCTTCAAGGTGTGGCAATTTTTTGTTTAATATATATTATGTAGAATGTAATCTATTGAGAATATTCTTTGCAGCTGAAGGTATGGAGTAAACTTAAGTGATTCAGGCTAGGTGACTTCAATGTGTAGGTTTCAATACAGTGGTTTAAGAAATGCACCTCCACAAGTCCTTCCTGGGTTGGAAGGCTGCCTGTCTTGAAAACCTTGGTGGCATGTACAAGTGAAAGACCCGGGGGTGTTGGTGCAGTTAGCGTACTGTGAGCAGTCGTTGGTCGTTGTTGAGGCACACTCATCCAAATCTGTAGGGGAAGATGATAAAGCTTTTAAAGTGTGTTGACAACTGTTTTTTTTAACCCAATACATTTGGCAGCAGACAGTTTCAAAATGTTAGAAAGCTACACTAACTTCAACTAAAGGCCTGAATTGAAAGATTAACAACCAGGTGTTTCAAAGGAATACAAAGAATATGTAAACTTTTATGGTACAGAAGTGAGAGAGGGAGAGAAAGAGAGAGAGAGAGAGAGAGACTGGTTTATTTGTACCATACAGGTACATACAAAAGCCTGTAAGCAGCCATACTTGGCTCAATTGAAAAAGCTTTAAAACACAAGATGCGCTGAGCCTCATAGTACAGCTAAGTGTTCAGGACCTTCGATAAAAGTTTGTTACAATTGATAAAAACCTATTCGTTGCATATCAAGTTTACATTAAAAATTACAGCATATTCAAAAGTACAATTACACAAAGTAAAACAGTTAATTCAAGGTTCCTTTAAGTTAAAGTACAGAAATAATCTAAAGTAGTATAGAAGTGCAGTACCTGACACCTGCACACCGCCCACAGTGAAGGGTAGGTTGGAGCTGCTGCTGATGGCGTTCTGCAGGGAGTTGCCAATACTGCTGGCTGTGGCGTTGGAAGACTTGTTGGTGTTGACCACATGATTGGCAATCACACTTCCATTGGTGAAACTTGTCACTGTGACACTCACAAACTCTGGACCAAGAGCCTTGGTGTACAGGGTTTCAAACTGGGAAGGAAGAGGATTGTAATGGGTAAACATTGTAATTTTATTTTGCAATATGTTTGAAAAATACTAGTCAGCTTGATTGTAGGTCCCTTATCTACAAGGCATTCATCAACCAGTCTGAAGACAAGTTTGATTAGCACCACCTTCCAGCTATGATGTCAAACCACCTAACCTTTTGGATCACTCAACATTTTAATGTCTAAAACCCTTCTAGCAGCCCCCTCTGTATTCACATGAAATACTAGTAAGTAATACTCACCACTGTAGTGACTTGGACCTTGAGAGTCCTGAAGCGGGTGGAGGTGGGGTCATTTAAGGAAGAGTCGAAAACCTCATTGGTGATGCGGACAGCTGCTGAGTATGCCTTGGTCTCTGTGGTAAGGAACAATGTAATCATGCAAACAAACTTTTGGGATTTATTCCAGATTGCAACACCATTACTATGCTTTACAAAGTCAAGATATAAGATTATTGAAGTACAATGTACATGCAGGATGGTCATTGATTATTTTTTATGTTGTGAGCATGCTAAGATTTTCATGTACTCATATCTGTTCTTGTCCTGTTTTGTTGTAAGAGAACAATATGACTGCTCAGCTTGACAGAGGTTTGCCTTACCCTCACATGTTCCATCATTATCTGTAAACCCTGGCTTACAGTCGCAGGAGAAGGAACCCTCTGTGTTACTACACACCCGGTCTGCTGCACAGTTGGCAGTGTTACTGGTACATTCATTGATATCTAGGAGTGTAAAAGAAAAACAAGCATTATTCAGATGGATCCCTCATGTAGATGTTTACACATTTTACCATGGGCAATTTTTACATAAACTAAAATGGAATCCCTGATTTAATATCAATGGTAGTGATTATATTTTCTCTTAGTGATTTTGAAGCCTGGTGATATTATCTTGAAAGTACATGTATTTTGATACAGAGTAATACTCTTCTTCTTCTTCAATCTTCCTCTGCTGAGGTGCAGCTTGTGAAGTTTTGTCACCAGTACAGTCTGTCATTCATTGCGGACAGAAGTTCCAATCCTCGCAGCCCAGTTTCAGACTCAATGAGACCCTTAAGTGTTGTGATTAGACAACCAATACTCAATTCATTGATATTAAGTCAACAGCACTATGTTATTAATGAATAAAACATGACCTTACCAGTACAGCTGGCACCGTTGCCTGTGTAGCCAGACTGGCAGGTGCACACCCCCACTCCTGATCCTGACTGCAGCAGACATGATGCTTTAGTGTCGCACGTTACCGAACAAGAGCCCACCACTGGAAGGTCAAATCTCAGTTAGTTGGTGGGCAATATCAGCAATATATTAAGGATGAGAAGGGACATTATGTACAAAAGGAGTATGAAATGTAATAACTTCTACAATTGTCAATTAGACTTCAAGATAATGTAGATGATCAAGGCAATGCTTAAGCAACAAGTTAATGAATAAATGAATGGCTGGCACAGTATTTACCGGGTAAGAACTTTAACCTAGTTAAATGTGATCAAACAGTACGACATACATTTTGTGCAGTCTTTTGCTCCAACCTGTCCACTTCCAAATGCCAGACATTGATGGTTGTTTGCTGCATCAGTGTCTGTGAAGTTACCGGTCACCAACATCCGAAGGCAGACATGAGTCATCTCTGCACAGTTGCTGGTAGTTAATGTGTTTAGGTTAGTCTGGGCAGTGAGAACAGTAACTCCCCCCTGAGCCACGCCCGTTGTTCCATCCGCAGCAGAAGAAATGCTAACGCTGACCTGTCCTGCTGCAGGTGTACTGGCCAGTTGAGAGGAGTTGGACAGAAAAACGACAAAGTCGAAGTTGCCTGATGGATTTGACTGTTGAGACAGAACAAAAAAAATGTGTTAAACAATCTGTGCAATCAGAAACCCTGTCTAATAATGTCAAACTAACCATGTTATATAAAATCCAGTCCAAACTAAAGTCCTGAAAGCATTTAGACATGTTTTAGCATGCAAGATCTTGTAGCCAATGGCTGTCATACCTGTACATCACTTGTTCCACTGTTGCGAAGGCTAATGGTGAATGTCATGCTCACACTGTTATTCGGGTAAAACTCTGATGGCTTGGTTTCAACAACAGTGAATGCTGTCAACTCAATATCTGGAAAACAAAAACAATTGACTCAGCAAAATATCATGTATGCAGCAACTGCAAACTGATGACATATACAGTTTTTAAAATCCTTTTAAAGAGGTATGGGACATTAGTCTGGTGCACGTACCGGTGGACACGGGTGCTGCAGGGGTGACCACAGCAGATGCAGTGACTGGAGGCGTCGCAGTTGCACTTGGCCGAATGGTTACTGCTGCAGATGCTGGCAGTGCTGCTGCTGTTGACTGAGCTGGAGTTGTTTCCACTTTACTTGATGCTGATATGATTGTTCCACTGGTAGCTGCTACAGAACTTTGCAGTGCCTGGGTTGGTGAGACCATTATTGCCACACCTGCTGTGCTGCCTGGTGCCATAGAACCCTGTAGAGCTGTGGTGGGTGCAACTGCAACACTGGGACTTATAATGGCTGCAACTGTTCCTCGTACAGCTACACTGCTTGGTGGTGGTGCAGACATGCGATGTGACTGAGTAGGAGCCACTGTTGGTAGAGGAGCCGCAACACTTGCTGGTGGTGCAGACATTTGAATTGAATGAGTAGGGGCAACTGTTGGTGGTAGAGCCACAACACTTGCTGGTGGTGCAGACATTTGAATTGACTGGGTAGGGACAACTGTTGGTGGAGGAGCCACAACACTTGCTGGTGGTGCAGACATGCGATGTGACTGAGTAGGAGCCACTGTTGGTGGAGGTACAACACTTGCTGGTGGTGCAGACATGCGATGTGACTGAGTAGGGACAACTGTGGGTGGTGGAGCCACAACGCTTGCTGGTGGTGCAGACATGCGATGTGACTGAGTAGGGACAACTGTTGGTGGTGGAGCCACAACACTTGCTGGTGGTGCAGACATGCGATGTGACTGAGTAGGGACAACTGTTGGTGGTGGAGCCACAACACTTGCTGGTGGTGCAGACATGCGATGTGACTGAGTAGGGACAACTGTGGGTGGTGGAGCCACAACACTTGCTGGTGGTACAGACATGCGATGTGACTGAGTAGGAGCCACTGTTGGTGGTGGAGCCACAACACTTGCTGGTGGTGCAGACATGCGATGTGACTGAGTAGGAGCCACTGTTGGTGGTGGAGCTACAACACTTGCTGGTGGTACAGACATGCGATGTGACTGAGTAGGGACAACTGTTGGTGGTGGAGCCACAACACTTGCTGGTGGTGCAGACATTTGAATTGACTGGGTAGGAGCCACTGTTGGTGGTGGAGCCACAACACTTGCTGGTGGTGCAGACATGCGATGTGACTGAGTAGGGACAACTGTTGGTGGAGGAGCCACAACACTTGCTGGTGGTGCAGACATTTGAATTGACTGGGTAGGTGCCACTGTTGGTGGTGGAGCCACAACACTTGCTGGTGGTGCAGACATTTGAATTGTTTGAGTAGTTGTAACTGTTATTGGTGCAGCTACACTGCTGGCTGGTGGTACGACTGGTTGTAATGACTGCGTAGCTACAACTGTTCCCGGTGCAGCTGCAGTACTCGCTAGAGCTCCGGACTGCTGTGCTGCCTGAGAGGATGCCATTACACCTGGTACTGCTGTGCTACCGGTGGGTGACACAGATACTGGCGCAACAGAACCCTGAAGTGACTGAGTAGGAACGATGGTTTCAGACAGACCTGTAGCAACAGCAGGAGACGCTTGGATGATGCCCGTCGATGATAGAGACTGGCTGTGCACTGCTGCATTCGACCACAGGATGCAACATAGTGTCATCAGGAGTGTTGCCGCCATGATCCTTTGTTATTGGGTCTGCAGAGCAACTGCTAAGAAAAAAGGAACTTAGGAGACATCACTCTATAGCTAACTAAGCTAACTATAATGTGGTACTACAACTATGACTGGGAAGGGCATTTGCTGCTCTGAGACAAAGAAATGTGCAAGTATGTATACTGAGGTTTGCCAACAAAGTGTAAACAAAAGGAATGCTTGGGTTTTTCTTTTCTCTTCGTTTACTCATCCTCCCACGCCAGGAGTGCTTCCTTACCAGTAAGGAGCACTAATCTCAAGGCGTATTTGCCGCGGGATAGCTCTGCCGTGGGAGAATGCGTTTACTGGACGACGACAGCTTTCCTTTCTAAAACTTATGGCTGAATATGATAAACAAGTATTAAGGGATCTACCTCTGATTTATGGAAATCGTATGCCAACATTTTTGGATGTCCGAAAATGACTTAAAGAACGGTTTCTAAACAACCCCCGTCAAAAAGGACGGCACCAGATGAGACATTTTACACGACAACCTATCCCAGCGTTATTTAAATTGTATGCCCTGTCTTCGCAGCCTAATGAAAGATCCGTGAACCATTTGTGTACTCGCGTTGATTTCGTTTTCGATAAAGGTGTTTTCACTACTCGTACTGACGTCAATGAAATACCTTGCAACAGACTTTATTTTCCTTGTAGTCGTTTTAAGATCCACAAAATACAACAAATTATACATATTTGTAATAATTGTCTGACCTGAAATGATCGATATCAGGAAGGGGACGCCCATGGCATATAGCGCCTGGGGCATTGGAAATGCCCATTAGGAAGTAGTACATAGAAAGCCACACCTGATGAGTATACCTATCGGTATGATTGTAGTCTGACTTCCTTGTCATAAGTTTGATGAATGGCTACGCGGAAGTAACCAACGCGAGACTCGGAAGTTTCGCAATAACATCGACAACGATCCACCCTAGCAGCGTATACTTAAGTTACTAGATAGACCTTACCACTAGCTATCTGCCGTGACATGTAGCCACACCCAAATTACCTACTGCCCCAGTCATGCCAGTAGGGCGATGCCGATAAGTCACAGGAATGTAGGCCGCAGACCCTGCCGTGCTCAACACCTGTGTCTTAACTTATGGACTAATTTTATATCCGTTGTTGATGGTAGCCTTTAACGGCAAACCATAGTCTTCAAAACAACGAAGAAGTGGTGTGAAAAGGTGTCCTGTCCAATGCCTATGCTCTTGTTCATATGGTCTCGCACATGTCCAGATATGTGGTAATCAGTTAAAAATCTATCACCATTTCATTGATCTTCACAATTATTCAACATCAGAGTTTAGAGTCTTAGTAGTACGTAAGACGCCGTGGTCGATGGTGCCGCCAATACGACTTTATACAGACTACAAGTACAAGTTAAACCTGTGAAAGTTGTCAGGGAGCGGAAACGTCCCTGGTGTACCTGGCATAGCGGAAGCCCGAGAATCGGCCTGCATTACCCAGCCTTGGTAGCAATCTGTGAGCTCTTGTTTGAAATAAGGTGTCTTAATCTTTATCGCTTTTCGTGCCTCTCGTATATTTGATGCCGTGTTTCAATTGTCGATAGGCATGTTTACTCTTCCTGTTGTTCGAGTCACGACAAGTTAGTGTCGAATAGATGTGCATGAACATTTTTCTCCCTCCTTGTATGGTACTCCGAAGCTTCTTACCATCAAATAGCTTCAAAGTTGAAGCAATGCACGGATACTGCACTTACATGGGTTACATATACCATCTTCTATACAATACAAGTTATAGCCAGCCGCTGCGGCACCTGTGCGTGTGTCACGCCCAAGGCGGTTACGCAGCTGGACAGATAAAACTGTATATCTCTGCGCGATGCAGAAAGCGTAAAAGTTATACAACGTTAGATTAAGTATATGTAAAAAAAAAAACTTATTAGAAGGGCATACCTTGAAGTTGAATCACAGATGTATAAAGTTTCGCCCAGAGAGACGTCAAAAGACCTCCTCCATTGCACACCGTCGCGCAGAGTAGTCTGGAAAGGAGTGACTGTGTTGGGTGGGGTTTCTGTTGCGAAATGCAGGAACCGGTTTGACAAGAACTGGCCCAGGTACTGCAATCTCCATAAACACCAATTACATATCCAAAAGGTACGACGGGAATTCCCCGAAGAAGTTTCAAATTACATACAGAAGCCATACTTCTGTGGTCAGCCGCTTCAACGACGAAGTTTACAATACAAGAGTTCCACAATCTCATACCTTCGCCAAATGAGGTTAACCCTTGCGGGTGACGAATTATACAATTTTAATCATTGATTTTGTAAATAAGAGCCTCATTTGCATGGACTATGTCAGTTGATCATATTCTTCATCCAATGACAGCCTTATCATACCAAAAAGGCTATTTTAGCACTTCCTCATAAATTATGCAAATGAGGTCATGATTTGAATAAATTATGTTTGTTGATGTTCACCTTCACTTAACTTCCAAATGTGGCAAGTATGAAATTCGGGGTGCAGCAGTTACAACTATGAAATTATAAGAATTTTCCATTAATTATGCAAATTAGGTCCTCATTTACATAATATATATCCTCAGATGTTTTTCTCATTCTCAAGTAGATGTCACAAGTGTTTCATAGTTCTATTATCGAACAAAAGGCAGAGTTATAGAATTTCCTCATTAAATTATGGCAAATTAGCGCCTGATTTGCA